TGTTTCTAAAAAATTCTTACTTTCTAAAATATTATCTCTATCTTCTTTCAAAAAATTTAGTTCACTTTCTTTAAGCTTCAACTCTTCTTTTAAACTTCTTAACTCTGTAGTAATAGCCACCAAGAAAAACTTTATTTCTTTATTTTCTTCTTTCTCCTTGTCCTCAACAATATCCATACTTAAAACATCTTTGTTTATTTCAATTTCTTCTTCTTCTTTTTTTTTTTCTTTTTCTTCTTCTTTATTCCCTTTTTTATCTTTCTTTTCCACCTTCAACAACTGCTTATGTTTTTGATAAAAACGTGTAGATCTCTGCATTTGTGGCATCTTTCTCCTTTTGTAAGTTATAATAGTGTTACAACCCCTGACTATCACTCTATTTATATTGATTATCTTATAATTATCAATTTTCGAACATTCTTAAACCCTAAAATTTTCCAAATTAATACCTTGTTGATGTGGAGCAGTGATTCAAGTGGTGATTGTCTGATCAACAGTCTCGAGATTCGAATTATGTCTAGGGTAAGCTCATACAGATATATTAGGAAAAACATATTAATATACCTGAGGCCCTTAGGCTATAACAATACATTCAAGGTGTTATTTTTTGTTCTTATATTATTCTATTAATTTTACTTTATTTTTTCTTTCTACTATACTTTATTCACTTTAAACTTAAACATTTTATTTTATATTTAACAAAATGATTATCAAAATCATGAGGACAGATTTACTAAATCTATCAGCAATTAATAACAATATCAGACCTGGTGTACTGTAATGATAGGAACTGACTACAAACTTTAAACATTTATTTTTATTTTTATCTATTAATCACAATATAAATGTCTTTCATCTTTATATTTTTTAACTCTTTTAATTATTACTATCTATATTCCTTTTTATACTTTTTTATTTTTCATTTATTTTTTCTTCTAAATTTTATATTACTTCTTTTTTTTTTCTTTTTCTTTGTTTTTACTAAACTTATATTTACCTATCTTACTTAAAAATATTTTCTTTTAGGAGGCCGATATTTGTACCCCCACATTTAATATTCGTACCCCTCGTGACGAAAACTTCTGATTATCATATGATCACATGAAATTCTTATATGTGATTGGTTAATAAGCCACTTAATCAGGTGCCTAATACTACATAGATGTTTAAGTAATGTTACTAATAGATTAAAATTAATGCTTTTGATTTAAGAATACTTAAGCCATTACTGGCATTTTGCTGTATATTCTATTTTGTTGGTACAAGTAATTTTAGTTATGTAAGTTTATTTTATTTTATTTTTTTTTGCCTCTATTGCATTCAAGAAGGCAAACATTTGAAACTATTTAATAAACCTGTCAAATTATTTAATAATAATAAAGTATAAAATTTTTGAAATAATATAGTTGGTTGTGAAAAGGTGCATTCGATATTTATTATAGCTAAAAATTTGGTTACCATTAAGAAAGGTGTGATATAGTAAGATTTATTTCAAAGCATTTTTATAAGTATACTGTTTTATTATTTAATAAGATCATTTTTGTTTTTTATAAGTGAAAAAAAGCTAAAAAAAATTATTATTTTATGTTTCTTAAAAGAAAAAAAACACCCAAGTAATAGTAATATTTGATGTTAAGAATTTCTTTACTATTTATATAGTATGGTTGATTCGCTCAAAGAAATAAGTTTTATACTAAGTTATTTCTATTTAAGCAAGTACAAGTATTGTGCCCAGGTTGCCGACAAATAGCACAATGCTTTGCTTTATATTCTACTAACTCAAAGCCAGAGGGATCTCTCCTAGTTGAGTTGGTCTGTTGTTGATTAGAAGCGCCAGGAGGATGTCCTTTGGTACAGACTATATTGGGGTTGTGCAAAGTTACTGATTGGATATTGATCATATCCTTTAATGACTCACATGCTGTTGATTGTTGAAATACTGGCTATTCTTGATACCTTTGCTGTAAATCTTGTAAGAGAGATTGAAATGAGTCTTCAGAATAAGAAACATCTTCCTCAATTTCAGGAGCTAGTAGATTTTTAGAAATCTACCAATGCTTATGGACATCATCAAGCATTAGACTTTGATTCTCCCCAAGGCGTTGGATAATATGGGCACAAGGTAGCCCCATTGTTTTTGAAAAAGATCTACTACATGGTGGCAGAGGTTCTTGCGGAGTAACAAGTTTTGCCTTTGGATATGGCTCATTTATTTTTTTTAAGCGTAGGTTGAAACTTTACCTTTAATATTTTATACAAAACATTTTTAATAGCAAAAGTTGGAAAGCGAATATGCTCTGACTCAGTTATATTATTAATCTCCTTTTTTTGGTTGGCTACTGCTAGTGATATTGTAGTATAAACCTGGTAAAGGTCCCCAACAGATGTTTGCAAATACGCTTTGAAAGTTGCATGTGCACCCTCAATTCGGGAAGTTGAAGTTGTTTCCAGATGAAGTACTGTATCTGTCATACTTTTACAAATCATTCTTTTAATGGTATCCAGGTTTCTTCAAGATATAAAATAATTTTTGGTTTACTAATATAAGTAGAATGAAAATCATTCCATTTGATATCAAATTCAGGTTCAGTTTTTGATTGAACAATAGCATTCCATTTGGCAAGAAAATTTTCCCATTCTTCACTATCTGCTTCCTTTGAGAACTGTGGCTTACAATTTTTTAAGATGTTTTTGCTAATGTGCCATACGCAAAGCAAATTTTTTGAATTAGAAAAAATCATACCAAGAGTATTCATAAGGGCAAGTTCTCTGTCGGTTACGATAACATCAGGTTTTTGTATTTCATTAAATAAATGCATAATATGTGTTAAGGCCCACTTGTAATCCTCTACATCCTCACCTTTCATAAAAATAAAACAGGAATAGAAGGTGGTATTGAAACTGGTTATACCTACTACATCTAACAAAGGCATATTAAATCTGTTTGTTTTGTAAGTACAATCCATTAAAATTACAGTGGGATAGCAACGAGTAAGAGCAACAGATTCTTTGTATAAAAAAAAAGATGAGTAACAGAACCAGTATTATCACATTCATACTTATAAAAATAATTGCCCTTTTGAAGCTCATCCATTAGAGCCTGAATGGGAGTACGACCTGCTAGATTTTCTAAATTAAGTTGTGCACGTGCATTATAAACATCAACATTAGTAATAGGCATTTTGGGGTTGTTATGACGAAGAGTTGATATAATTTCCTGAGGTCTTGAACTAGCAGTAGTCATGGTTGCAACAGTTACAATCTGTTGTTCTGTAAGTCGGCGAATAATGGAATATCCTGTCATATTATTTGAGCGACCATGATTATGGTCTGCATAGCGAATTTCTAAAATGATATTTTCTTTCACGTCTAGCAGCATACAACTCAAAGGGACAGTCAATAAGCCTGGTGCTTCTTTGTTTATGGTTTGATTCTTCATTAAGTTCCAAGGAGCTATGGTAAACACCACCACGGTCACATTGTAGTAATATATTCTTTAATTCACCATGGTTATCTTTTCGAGTTCTTTTTTTAATTAGAACATAACCTTGGGAATTTGCAAATCTTTGTGCATTTAGAAAGAGTTCTTCGGCACTATTATATACTTCAAGTGGTGGTAAAAGCATATTTTACTATGGTAAAATAGTACAATGGAATTTAAAGACTAATTAATTTTTATTTATTAAATGAGATGAGACTTGCAAGTGACAATGCTAAAACAGTTGTGATTTATTATAGCCGTAGAGAAAGTTTATTAAAGATACTTTTATCAAACTATTTATATTTGATAAATAAGATTATCTTTATTAACTTTAAAATCTTTTTATATTTTAAATATATCTAGATATCTAAAAAATCTTTCATCTATCTAATCTGCCAACTTGGGCTTGGGCTGTACAATGGGAGTATTTTATTTTTTGTTTCGAAGTATCTGATTCTTTAATTCTTTATATTTAGAAACTATTAAATCAATTATTTAATTTAGCATATAACTATGATTCATTTGAAGCCACGTCTTACACTTTTTTAGGAATTATTTCTAGAACATATTACATCTTTTAAGATTTCTCTAAAGAAGACAACTTCTTAGTGGTTCCACTTAAGCCGTTAGATTTGCAAGTTATTCCTCTTATATTAAACTATTTATCTAAATTAGAACTTTTACCAGTTTTCCTCTGCTATTTCTTATCTTCGATTTTTTCATGCTACTTTGAAACCTTGGCTTTTCGATCATAGACTATTCCTATTTGGCTATATGTATTGGTTGTTCTATTATGCATGTTTTACTTGATCTCTGTTCGATTATATTACATGCACCGATTAGCATGATTGTTGATCATCTTATACAAGTTACAGGCTTTCAATCATGGTTATTTTGCTTGCAAATATAAAGTATATTAGAGTATTAAAATATATGGTTTGGTTATATTTATATTAACTGATTAATTGTGTTCCTTGCTTAGTATAATAATTTTATAGTTATCTTAATACTCTATAGAGACGCATTTACAAACATTTAGGAGCTATTGTATTACCTTTTCTTATTGTAAACTGCATTTTACATTTTTTTTGATATAATTTCCTTCTTTAAAGCCACCTATATTTTTTTAGGTCTCAATATTCTTTTATTAATGCTTTTTAAATTAATTTTTTATTTTGACTAACACTTTTGGATTTAGGTTAATGATCATATTAGTGTAAATGTTTCGCAAGTGCAATATTTAGTTATTGGCCAGGATAGAATCTGCAGTTTGGCTAATGGTACCTCTTTTTGTAGAAAAAAAATTAACCACAAAACTAGAAGAAAATTTAGCTATTATTATCATTTGCATCTAGCTCTAACAAATACATTATAGAAGCAATAGGTATTCTAGCGCATTTAAGAGTTACACTTGTAAAAATTTTGAAAAAGTGTATTTATTTGCAAAATTTAGCGAAATAAAATAACATTCGATTTACTATCTGAATGTTAAAAAAAAAAAAACTTTGAAATTTAAACTTCTAAAATCTATTTAAACACTGCTGTGTTTATAGCACACTATGTATTTCGATAATTTATACCCATATCGAATATTTTGTAAGTTTAGTTGCTTTGTAGTATATGTACGTATGTATGTGGCTTATTTACCAATCACATATAAGAATTTCACGTGATCACGTGATAATCAGAAGTTTTCGTCACGAGGGGGTACGAATATTAAATGTGAGGGGTATGAATATCAGCCCCTTCTTTTATTATCTTAAACAAACTTTACTTTTTTTTCATATTATTTTACTATTTATGTAAATATAAAACAATATACTTAATAAAGTCTGTTGGGTGTATGTCCAAGAACCGGGAATAATGATGTTAAAGATCTGAATATCCAGGTCCAGGTGGTCCCCATAGTATCAGCCACCCTGATCTCAAAGCAGCAACAAAAGACTAACAACAACTTAAAGCTAGCTTCTACCATACTATTCGTTGTATGACAAAAGAAAGACCAGATTTTCTTATTAACTACATCTACCAAATCAATCCTGATATAAGCAAACAAGCAACTATTCTATTTAGTACAATAAAAGATACTCTTAAAGAAATCATCGCAAAATTTACCTCTATCTTTTTTACTTAACTTAACTATCTAGAAATTTTTATATCACCTGCAACTATTCTGCCATATAAACCTGAAAATCGCATACAATTTTGCCTTAATCTGGCACGTCTACATCTTTATCTCCATGACAAATACCAAGCAATCGATTATAATAAATTTGCAGAAACACTTAACTTCCATTACAAAACATACAAACTCATTTCTCAAATTGTCAGCACTGACAAAGACAGAATATACCTAACTATTAAATCAGATAATAAATTTAATATCAACCTACTTCTCAACTTACCAGTTACTCTCTTTCTTAAAAACTTTTCCATCCCTTTACTCCAAAACTCTTTAGACTATTTTAACAAATGGTTCGATGAATTCTTCTCTATTTATAAATATCAATTTAAAGATCCATTAAACAAAGAAGAGACTTGTAATACACTAAAATCCAAAATCCAAAGAGCCTATATTCTTCAACTTAAACAATACCTTCCTTCTGTACTTGATACTTTTCAAAAACCCACTTGCTATGAGGACTGCCATGATGAATACTTTAAGTATCTTAACTTCTATATTCTAACTTGCAAACATGAAAACTGCAACTTTGTTCAGGAAAACCATAAACATGATACTTCTCAACTTTTTAAGCATTTGTTAACCAAATCCTACAAAGAATACCCAAAAGAAATAAATACACCTACTTTAGATATTGACTCCTCAATTTTTGGACTTGACTCTAGAAATGAAGCTACCTTCTTAAAACCAATTCCAACCAAACTTCTTGATAAACTGGCAGATATAGCCAAACAAGATTTCTGTACCAAAATCATACTGTCTCCTCTACCAAATGTCGAAATGGTTTCTTCTATCAATATCTTTAAACATACCAAAAACAAGCCACCAAAAATCTACAAATTCATCATCTAACCCAAATAGATACTATCAACAAAATTACTGCTGAAGTAGTTAGCACTGACTATTTAGCAAGAATTATTACATACTTTGAACAAGCTTATACAAAAGAATCATCCTTCTGTTACCTTACACAATATTATACAAACATTGCCTACCCCCAAAGCTAAAAGAATTCTTTCTGGGAAATTTAATATAACCTTCCAAGTTTCTAACCAAATTGAAGATTCATTATTCCTTAATGAATCTTCTTTTCATTAAATGTATCTTTTGCAAACTACATTAATACAGCCACTGCCTCTCTAAAAGATACATCCATCGTTGTTAGAGAAAATGATGTAAGTGGGCAGGTAGTTAAGCCCATTTACTCAGAAAGTTCAAATAATGATAGTCCTCTAATGAACAACCAGAGAACCTTTGATCCTTGCAGAGCTGTGCAAGCTGGGCATATAGTGAATACTACAAAAGACACTATCCTATCTACTTTAGACACCATATCATCATCCCCCTCTGAGGTAGCACTTACTATACCAAATACTAATAACAACCAACTCTCAGACTTTTCAGACGAACCACCATTAGAAAATGACTATAACAGTAAAGAATATCGTACAGATCCAACATCATCACTATTACTATCTTATTCAAGATGGTGAAAAGGCACTTATCATGAAGTTGACCCAAACACATGCTTAACAAATTTTTTCATTACTACAGATTACAACTTCTATACTCACTCCAAACTATTGGCTCATTTCTGCAATATATTCAAGAAGAATACCCTGAATTCTACACAATGACTATATCAAAATATCTTTAAAACTAACCAGCACCGCTTATTTTTTCTCTAAAGCACATATATATCTTCCTCACGAAGGAATCTTACCAAATCATACAAACTATTATCTTATTAAATATCTCCGTAGCCATTATAAAGTACAACTTAAATCGAACAACTTTTTTATACCAACCTTCATTGATGACTCTCTCTTTATTAACTCATCTGCATCCCCACTTGACAACTCTCTTTTTATTAATTCACCTGCATCTAACAAACATCTGCTCCTTCCTTATACAATACTAACCCCCATATCCCATTAAGTCTTAATGCAAACTCATCAAACCCCTCTACACCCTCCTTTCTAACTCGTCCTTCATTACCTACCAATTCACCAACTTTATTAGCTAATGACTATGACTTGAATCTCACTATAGCTACACACAATGTCAGGAGCTTCAACACTCCTTCCAAAAAACAAATCTGGCAAGATTACTGTATCCATCACAATATCACAATAGCCAGTATTACTGAAACAAAAATCTCACATAAAACAAAACTATCCTTCTATAACAACAATCTTTATACTTACTACTGGGCAAACTCTGACAGCTCTGCTGAAGAGTCTGCTATTATGATACGCAGTTTTCTTAAACCTCATGTACACAGTTGCCAAACACATCCTGATGGTGCAATTGCACTTGATCTTTTCTTTAAAAATCCCATTAAGCTTCGAATTATATCTGTGTATCTCTTTTCAACTGACTCCTCTCGAAGAAATACCACCCAAAACACTGTTATTAGCTGGATTTTGCAAGCCCAACAACAAAATATTCACCCTATTGTTTTTGGTAACTTTAATACACATGATAATATATTCAGCTCTCTGCTAGATTTAAACTTATCAACTTTCTACACCATTCAAACATGTTTGATATCACCTCTCACTCAAACAATATCTCACATACCTGGTCCAACAATACAAGCTCTAGTAGAATTGACTATATTTGAACCAACTCATTTAACATTCAATTTCTCCTAGCTTATAATCTTGACAACAGTAAAACAAGCACACTTAGTGACCACCTTATACTCTCTACTACCTGGACTTTTCCAAATGCATATAGCAAACCACCTCGCTTATGTACCAATATCTGTCGCTGAATTTTTAACTATAAATCAATATCTCCTAACCACTGGCTTGAGTTCTCTAACTTAGCTACTGAACTTTTCCAATAACACCATATTTCTACTTCTTCTGGCTCTACCATTAGCATCAATAGTATCTGGCATAAGATCCAGCACTGTATTATACAGGTTGCAATTAAAAAAGTTTCTAACAAAGTCA